AACTAGCAGAAGATGTGTCAAGGAGCTAGTGTGGAGTAAACGTTGACGAAATGATCGAAAAATGTCCTTAGGTGTCAAGTGCTATCCCAATATGGTAAGGATATGTTGTGGTATTGTGTTACCAAGTTGTGGTGGAAGAACAGGAATCTCATTCCACCGACACACAAATTCTGTCTGCTCCTGAGAAGGAGTCTATTACTCCACGCCATCAAGCTGCATTGCATCGAGAGCACAAATGGGTGGCAGGTACAGCTACTCGACCTTCAGCAAGTGAGCCAGCGTTGTGAACACTCGTGACAACAATCTACCACGAAAACACTATGTGCAGTCTTCAAGCGGTGAATTGACGCATGTTTGAAAAGCCTGGATTTGTTGGTGAGTAGATCATTTGGTGATAACTAGTGATATGATCATTCGTTCTACAAATGTTGGAGCGCGAAGGCCAATTTCCTTGCAAGTTAGTTAGTCTACCGGTCAGTGGATCACTATTAGCCGGTCAGTCAGCCAGGTAGACAAAAAGCCCGTTTTTATGCTTTAAAAGAACTAAAGAATGTGATGACAGTCTTTATTAGGCACTGTCATCAATTTATGCATGTTATGTGACACCCAATTGCACACATACCACAACTTTTCTTTTTTACCCTAACTGGGTGTCAGTCATTCACACACCAATTCTCACCAAGATTACCCGCCTGTATTTGTCATCAAAAACATGGGTGGTCTTTTAAAGCAGTCGTGTTTAATACACTCTTAAGACAAGAACTTGAGCTTGACGTCATTTATTAATTTCACTTATTCTAGTGGCTTTAGATCTAAAGGAAACGATCAACTATCTTCAAGCTGCGCAGGACCGGACAGTGCTCTCCAATGGGCACGTCCCATTCGCCAATCGCCACTTAGAGGAACGTCTATTTAAAAGCGAATTCTGTGTTTCACAGTAGCTTTACAAGTCGAGCTTTTTGTATCTGTTCCTCTGTGATAAGTCTGCTGTAGTTTCAGTTGAAAGTGGCTTCCTGACTACAAAGCTGGAGTGATTTCCGAGTAGAGACCCCCCTTTTATAGTCCTTCTTTTATGAGCCTCCTTAAAAAAAGCTATCTTATGAACTTATTTGGCTATAAATTATTTCTTTAACGTCTAGTGGGCTCAGTCCTAGTACCAACGAGGTGTTCCGAATCCACTAAGGGAGAGACTGATGGCTATGGCCATTGACACATGGTATTTAAGGAAGTAACTAAAACAACCATGGTTCCGTTAAAGTCTTTGTATAACTAATCTTGCAATTCATCATTCTATTAGTGAACGAGTTTTGAAAAACATGTGAGCACAAAATTCCGGTCAAGTCATTTCTAGACTGAGTGAAATCAAATAAATAATGGCATAATCTAAAAAAATGAATAAATGATACGGGTTTGGGCCTAAAATAGTGAATAATTAACACGAATGTATAAAACGGATGCCTGTAAATTTTTAAACCACTTTCTGATATAGCATGATAGAGTCACCTGTTGGAACCTTGAAGAACTCGGTAAATGCCTGCCATTATTTAGGTGAATGCAGCATAGAGCATAAATATGAGAGGTCATTACTTGGGTATTGTAGCCCTCATTGTGTACTCTGCTACCTCCCAGTCATTTCAAAAGTCATGTCTTAAAACGATGGTAAATCGTGATGCATGAGATATGAACTCTTCTGCCTTACGGAGATGCGGTAGTGGACCGATCACTCCCAAAAGTTCTACATTCTATCTTTCCATTGATAGACTTAACTCACGCTGTGGGAGACTCTCTATTTATAGTAATTATAGTAAATCTTCTGCCCATTTTGAGGTGTAAATAACTCCGTTAATTGGTTTAAATTAAAGGAAAAGTAGTGACAGCTATGCATACGGGCAGATAACAATGATCATTCACCTCTTCCTAGATACGAAAAACGCCCTTTCCGCTTACTCATTCTTTATTGAATGACTGACTGACAAACTAACTGACTGACTTGTTAGGAGAAATGGCCTTTGTGCTCCAACATTTGTGGAGCAAACGACTATATCGCTGGTCATCACCAAGTGATCCATTCATCACCAAACTCACACTTCTGCGACACTCGTTAGCTAACCTCTTGAATTCTGTGCATGGTTGACAGTGGTTGTAATTATTCACTACTAATAACTCACAAACTCACGGTCAGGCGGTCGAATCTACCGCCTATTTTTATTGCCGACAAGATGCAAACTGAAGGCGAAGAGCAATAACCTCTTCTTCAGAAGCAGGTGAGATTCTTGTTCCTCCACGACCACGCAACAAAGCACCAAATCAGTGCTACCTCTCGACCTCAGGATAGCTCGGTTCAAGGCCTCATTCCATGAAACAGACCCGTGGGAAGGATTATACACTGGGTTCCAAAGAGGAGGGAGGTACTGCCCCAGCTTTCTCATTTTCCGATTATATGATCACGAAGTGGTGAATATCATACTTGGTATACTAGTATTAAATAACAGTATGCGAAATAGAATGGACTATAGGAAAGTGAAAGTGAGACCAAACGAAATATGACTAATGCCAGGTCATTAGTTTTAGAAAAGTGCATCTTTGACTATTACAAAATTTGTTGAACTTGGCCTTTAATAAAGGCGATTTTAAGTCGGCTGAAAGCTCACATCAGGTTGTGTCTTTTGTAAATAATTTCCTCATTTTATTTACGTCTGTCAAGACGAACATGATTGGCGACGTCGTAGCACCACTCTGACTTGCTCTAATAGGCGGGGAAAACTCACGCAAATGCACAAAATGTCCAT